CCATTGAGATTGTTTATGAGACCTTCAGAGATAATCGAATTTAAGCCCCATGAAATTTGCATTTTAAAAGGCCATTAACAAAAAATTTCCTTGGGATTCCGGAGGAGTTGAGGTTGTACCCAAAAAAGTTGATCCGCAATACCTAGTGTTCTCCGTATGATCATGGATTATCCATCGTGCAATGGCGCCTATTTAGAAGAGTAATTTGATACAGTCAAATGGTGGCTGGTCTTTCACAAGAATTATGGATTTTTGTTGTTGTGAGCAGCATCTTATGGCAGTTATATTCAAAGGCGGTCCTAGCGACAAGAAGATCAAGCACTTGCTTGCTTGGAGCCGCTGTAGTTTATAGTATTAATTTGATGGGCCAAATTTTCACGAGAAATGCTTCTAGCTCCGCTGGTAACCACAATTATACATAAAGAGAAGGTGAAAAATTTGGATTTGGGGCCATCAAATTCGCAGGTCGGTTCTGGTTGCATTCAACCATAACACCAGCAAACTCTGTGTCTTCTGCATGATTTGTATTCTGTTTTCTGAATATCAAGTTGTTACAAAAATAAATGATTTTGGGCAATATATCGCTAGTTCAGCTCGAATTGGTAACTTTTTAGAGTAACATAGAATATTTTACTCTAAAAGTATTATACATTAAATATACTATTAAGGAACAAAAAAAAAATAGTATATATTAAGGAAAAAAAAAATTACTATTATTTTTTTCATTCCACGCTTATCTCTCTCTCTCTCTCACCAACTGCCCAGATCCTCTCCATTAGTTTCCCAAGCAAGCTTCGTCGATCTTCCTCGTCTTGATTTCGTTTCTAAATGTAAGTCTTACTCTCATTCCTTTCTCCATCGATCTCAATCTAATGTAGATCGGAAGAACAAATCGATCTAATTTCGTCTAAAACATTGATTATTCATTTGGTATTATATAATTGTAAATCGAGAAAAAAAGTTCTTGCGATTACACAGTAATGGAATCCTTGGATTGATTTCTGCTATAGGTTGTATGCAGAATCACCATGACTTCAGCTTCTCCTCGAGCTTCTTCTTCTTCAAAGACTGTGTTTCCTCGGAAAGTTTCTTCAATTGCATTTGCTATTGGTGGATTGGCTTCTTTCGTCATCTTCGCTTCTCTCCTTCTTTTCACGCATCCCATTGGTTCCTCCGTTACTGGCTATTTCTACGGATACGAGACCACTCAACATGTCGTCCAGTTTCACCATAGCACCGACCTTGACTCTTCTCATCAAAACCCATCTCCTGATTCTACCTCTGACTCACCGCCATTGACACAAGATAGTCAGGATAAACTGCTTCCGATCTCTTCCCAGGATTCGACCGATGTTAGATTAGGTGAAGAAACAAACTCAGGAAGGTCCTCAAATGTTTCCATGGATGAAGAAGCTACACGAGATTCAATTGAAACAGGTATTGTTATCTTGAACTTCATGTAACATCTTGCTTTATGATAGCTTAGGTTTCTCTAATACAAATCCTTAGTAGTATATGGTAACTTGGAAAGTAGCTATGTGTTATCCAATTGATTCTCAAGGGTTATAGAAATTGGGCTCTCTTATTCGTTGCCAAATCATTGAAACAAGAACAATGCTACTAATTAATTATACATTTGGCTTAATAATTACACTAGGATCCTTATGCATTTGAATCTTAATTACCTTTGGACTATTTAGATAAAAGCATTTCTAATCATTAACTGGTTTAAGCATTTATAACTACCGTTTAACTTCTGAAAAAGATGGTGATTGATTCATTGATTAGTATCAAACAAATATTCCCCAATTCCTCCTCAGGATCTTAGCTTTTCAAATTCTGTAACCACTTCCTTCACTGATGCTTTTTTACTGCTTTGACCAATTTTGCAGAATGTGATCTGTATCATGGTAGCTGGGTTTATGATCCAAGAGGACCGTTGTACACGAACAACTCTTGCCCTCTTCTGACACAGATGCAAAACTGCCAGGGGAATGGAAGACCTGATAAGGGCTATGAGAACTGGAGATGGAAACCGTCTCAGTGTGACCTTCCACGGTTTGATGCCAAGAAGTTTCTCGAGCTAATGAGAGGCAAGACATTAGCTTTTATAGGTGATTCAGTAGCTCGTAATCAGATGGAGTCCATGATGTGCCTTCTTTGGCAGGCAAGTATTTTGTTCTTCTACTCTGTGTCATTTTATAGAGCTTCTTTACGCTTCCTAGAGTTTTCTCTTTTCTTTATGATTAGAACTTTTATTTGATGTTTTTCAGGTAGAAACTCCGGTCAACCGTGGGAACCGAAAGATGCAGAGATGGCATTTCAGGTCATCATCGGTAATGATAGCCCGGATGTGGTCATCTTGGCTCGTCCATCAGTTCAACGAACCATTTGGTTTTGCGCCAGAAGGTGTAACCAAACTCAAGCTCGACCAACCCGACGAGCGCATAATGGAAGCTCTTCCGAATTTTGACGTGGTTGTACTTTCATCGGGTCACTGGTTCGCAAAACAATCTGTCTACATTTTAAATGACGAGATCGTTGGAGGCCAGTTATGGTGGCCGGACAAATCAAAACCCGCAAAGGTCAACAACGTCGAAGCATTTGGGATCTCTGTAGAAACAATCATGAGGGCAATGGCTAAACACCCGAACTACACGGGTCTGACCATATTGCGGACTTGGTCGCCTGATCATTATGAAGGCGGTGCATGGAACACTGGTGGATCGTGTACAGGTAAAGTAGAACCGCTCTCTCCCGGGAAGTTAGTTAAAAACGGTTTCACAGAGATAATGCACGAGAAGCAAGCAACGGGTTTTCACCGAGCTGTGGCGGATGATGGACTCGGCAATAGATCGAAGAAGCTGAAGCTAATGGATATCACTGAGGCTTTCGGATATCGCCATGACGGTCATCCTGGTCCGTACAGGAGTCCCGACCCGAAAAAAATCACGAAACGTGGACCGGATGGTCAGCCTCCGCCACAAGACTGCTTGCACTGGTGCATGCCGGGGCCGGTGGACACGTGGAACGAGATGGTGCTGGAGATTATAAGGAGAGATTTGGAAGGTAGATGAGGGAGTACACCATTATCTTAAGCCAGGAGCGAAGAGATAATATATACATATAAGAGTATCTAATTCATACCACGGATTAGTTGAGTTAAGGACTTCTAATAAATATGGTTATTAATTACTTGTAAACCCAGTCCACACACACTTGTAGCTCTGCATTTTACATACAATGTAACTTAAATTTTTTATTCCACAGAAATTGAGTGTATTAACATTAAGTGAAAAGGGACTCCGAGAAAGGGATCTAGG